CCTGGAGCAATATCTCATTGGAGATGAAAGGGCTTGTTCAGGAAGAGATTTTGAAGTCTGTAGGGTAAAGATGAACTTCGTGGGGTTGTCTCCATGCAGCTATATGTTATTCTCTGGGGGCCGGGTAGAAAGGAGAGAGAAGTATTTTGGATTTCCTATTTACCTTACTGAGAACCATCTATGTTCCCCTGAATTTTTTCCTGGCAGAAGCAGTTCCTATCTATCTATTACAGGGTCATAGACATAGAAGATTGCAAAATCCCAACTTCCCTCTACCCTGAGACCCATTCTGAACCTCTCAAGCCAACGTAGTAGCTAATGCACACTCTCACTGTCTGTCCCCACAGGCACACTAGTTTAACTCTTTGGGAACCACATGACATTAAAGCAAGGAATACACATTCCTTTGCAAAGCCTCAAACCGGGCCAGCTCCAGGCACCAGGGCAGCAAGCAGGTGCCTGGGTCTGTCAATGAAGAGGGGTGGCACCTTCAGCGGCGGGTCCCTCAGTCCCTCTCGGAGGGAAGAACCTGCCGCCCGGCGACGTTAGAGTTGCTGCCGATCGTGTCTTTTTTTTTTTTTTTGCTTTGGGCCGGCCCTGCCTCAAACACACACACACACTTTACCCATGCAGCACAAGAGTTAGAGCTAGGCAAAACAAAGCTTCTGAACACAGTCCCCCTTGACTGGTTTCACCCCTGGTTTCTGGGTTTGGTTCAAGTCCTTAACGGAGACCAGGTCCCTCCTGCCTCAATTCTTTCTGCTGAGACTTCCGGTTCTGGCAATGACAGAGCTCCACTTGCTTAAAGAGCATGTCACTTTTAGAAACAGTGATAAATGCTATAAAGCAGAGGAATTCATATTTGGACACAGACATGTTGCACACACTGTCACAATGCACAATTTTTGAGCTTCATTAAAACACTGCTTTTTAGTATGTATTTGTGTTCAGAAGATGTCATACCAAATAATTAAATTATGTTCCAATAAAACAAATACAAAGTCTATTAATAACATTTGGTGCCCCAAATTTCCTGGTGCCCTATGCAGCTGCATATTTTGCATATGGGCAGGGATGGCCCTGCCCACCACTTAGCACAGCTCTGAGCCATTTCAGCTCTTAGTAGGGGAGCCTCACTGCTAGAGCAGACTGGGCAGTATCTTTTGCCAGAGACACTGTCCCACAGCAAGTCTAAGCACTTAGGCCTGATTATCAGTGATTTCATCTGCAGTGGTCACTTAACAAAACAAAAGACTATCTATGGAGCCTAAGGAGCTCTCTTTAAACAGTGGAGAGAAGCGGGTCAAAGGGCACCTATGACTCTTAGGCAGAGCCCACACCACTAGGCAGAAACACCTGTCCCCATCCATTCTCTCTCTCCACTCAGCTCTGGCCTTGGAACCCCTCCTTAGTGAGTGCAGTGCAGTGGAGGGAGACCAGGCTAATCAGGACAGGCTAAGCACAGTTCTGCTGCCCTTCACTAATCCAATCAGGACAACAACATTCCATGACCCCTGCATCCAATACTCAAGTGATTTGTAACCAACACCAGCCAAAATTGATCACTTGGGCAACATTACACAGCTCTGTCTGCTGGATAGCTAGGCAGAATGGGTGGGTTCATGTATAATAACCTGGTGAGTTTGGTGTAACTTTTATTCTGAATTTGTGAATTTTCTCACATTTGCTTAGTAGTTACCTATTCACTGTTTGTTTCAATAACTGAGTGCTTAGTGAAACTGCCCACTGCAAGTATAAAGTTAACTGTGAAGGAGAGAGCTTTCTTGTGAGTTAGGCTTTGTCTGCAGTATGCAGCTTTTAGCGATATGGCTGTGTCAATACAGCCGTTGTCACTAAAACACTGAAAGACGGGCAGTGTAGCTGCTGTTTGTCCGCTCTTTTGCCAACAAATTACTTCCACCCCAACAAGCAGTGTTCACTTTGTTGGCAGGAGAGCTCTCCTGCTGACAACACGCTGTTGACACCAGCACTCTTTGCAGCAAAACTTTTGTCTTTTGAGGGGGGGGGCGGTTATCACCTCTGAATGACAAAAGTTTTGTCATTCCATTGCCAGTGTAGACATAGCCTTAGTTGAAGACTGTGGGGGCGAATTCCTGCAATTCTGAGAACCAGGAAAATAATAATAAAATAGAAAAAATATCATCTTGTCCTTCAAGTGCCAGCTGCTCTGCTTAGACCTGCATCTGCTAATAGCCATACAATGCAAAGAAATCATTAATTAAAAAAAATATCCCCAAGCAATTTTTCCTCTGGTAAGCGGGCGATAAATTAAATGTACCACACAGATAGTAGCTGTGCCACTGATTGAAGCGCTTTTCTTATATGCTAAAAGGCTGTATTACAATAGATTGTTGGCACTCAAATAAATTTTGAGAGATTATTTCACTACAAAAAACAATGTTTTGCTTATGTGACAAAGTTCCAAGCCTGTACTGGTGGGTCCCATGTTTCCGGGTGGATTTAGTGGCCTCAGAAACTCAATAAGGCCCCAATGTGACCTCCCTTCTTCAGTATAGCAGTAAAAGTCACAGCCTATTGAGTTACTTTCATCACATGCCAGTATGGGGATTGGGAAGGGGGAATACCCCACAGTCTCTGTTGCTCTGTAGAGCTCAGTAGGCGCAGTTCGGCCTCCTGCCTGGACCGAGTCCTGCTTCCCCTCTCAAGGGGATCTCTGTAGAGTATGGCGGGGCAGGAGAGACCCAGGCCCACCATCTTCTCCAGGTTCCAGCCCAGGGACCCTAATAGTAGCAGCTGTTAGTAGATTTCCCTTCACCACTGAAGCTACTTTGATTCCCTGGGCTACTTCCCCGTGGTTCCCTTTTCCTAGCTTCACCCTAACCTCAAGGTTCAGTACACTTCCTCTTCTCCAGCTCTGTTCACCTGGGCTCTCTCTTGAGAGGGCTGTAAAGGAGAGCTTTTAAGAAGTATGAGTGGGACCTTGATTGGTACCAGCTGTCTTCATTAGCCTAACGGCCTTGACTAACCCTTTGCCAGTTAATTTGGGTCAGGTGCTGGCATTAGCCTAATGACCTTAACTGGTTAACTGGCCCTCAGGTGTCTTGACTGGCTTGGGGTAGCCTTTGTTTAGCTATTCAGAGAATAGGGATCTGCTCCTCCAGTGGCTGCTCTCCCTGTCTTCCCCTCTGGCCTGGAGGGAGGAAGGTGGCTGCTGCTCCTGCTAGGCCCTGGGCCCTTGCTGCTGCTCCTGCTCCAGCTCCTCCCTCTCTGCTACCTGGTTGCTGGCTGGCTGGTGGACGCCCCCAACCCTCGGTTGCTGCTGCTCCTGCTACAGCTCCTTGGGGGGGGCCTGCTGGCCCACTCCCTAGGAGAGGGAAGTGAGGGACCCCGCCCCAGCCCTTGCTGCTGCTATGGACACCATCACCACCACCTGGAATGGGTCCTGCCTGCCTGGCCACTGGATGGTCTGCTGGAGCCGCTGCTGCTGTGCTTCCTGCCTGGGAGCTGCTGGAGCCTCGAGGTGGAGAAGAAGATGGTTTGCTGCTGGGGGAATGTGCAGAGACTCTGCAGACCACCGTGGAGGGGGCCTTTTAGACTGAGTTACTTTCCAACTGTGCTCTTGTGGTGGGGGTCTTGACTGTGTTTGTGGGGACACAGGGGGTGTGGTGTGGAGCCTGCCCCCTGGTCCATCTGAGTGCCCCCTGGTCCATCTGTGTGCCCCCACTTCCCCCACCACACCACATTCATAGAAATAGGTTTAGATGCTTGTTTCTGAAATAAAGTTGAAATGTAAATTAAAATATTCTTTTTTTACACCTTGTTACAATTATTCCAATTTAGAAAATATTATCTTTTTTCTTTCCTATTTTACATTGAAATTTCACAGGAGTAGAAAATTCTGACAGGAGTGAATGATCCCATCCACCACCACCTGCTACCCCTGGGGCAGGGGCTGGGGAAAGGCGAGGGCTAAGGGTTGCCAGGTGTCCAGTTTATGACTGGAACCTCCAGTTGAATAGGAAAACTGGCAGGGTCCAGTCAGCACAAAAAGTCCACTTGCCTGCAGTGACTGGCCTCCAGCACTGGGGATGGGAAGAGCAGCAGCAGTGGGAGGGGAGAGTCTGTGTCGTGGGTGTCACTGTTGTCACACCCCAATGGCCCCCTCCCTCAGGGAGTCCCCGGGGAAAGCAGATCAACATTACATGTGGCTAATGCTCTTGCAAGCATCGCAAAGCATTTTGGGGAGGGTCAAAGGTGTGTGAGTGGGGAATGGAAGATTCCTTTGCAGGAGTACGAGAGGCCAACGGGGGGGGGGGGGGAGAGAAAGAAAAAAGCAGAGAATGGGTTAACTTGGTACTTTAGCTAGCTTCATGTGCAGATAAGATGCTGACCCTGGCCCAAGGTCATGGGCTCGATGAGAAATCTACAGACAAGAAATCTAGTGTTGCCCAGTTGTGAGAAGAGGAGAACTAAGTGGAGCAGAGCTGCAAAGATAGCAGCGAAAACAGAGCAAATGACGTGGCGATGGTGAAGGCCAACAGAAGGGAAAACAAATTCTCCAGAGCCGGTGTGTTTTGGGCAGCCGAGAAGGCCACAGCAAGCTGATTGGGACTGGTACAAAGAGCACCAGGCACAGAGGGCCCTGGACAATGACACCCCCAAAGGAACCCAGGACTTAAAAACCCTCCTGAGAGCTGGAGCAATTCAGAGATTACAGCGGATTCCCCGATGACCTAGGCCCAGGGCAAGAACTCCCGTCCACCCCCCCTTCTTCTTGCATTACACCCAGGCCTGGCCAGTCTTGGGTAGTGCGTGTGTGAGTATGAAAGTGGGTGAGGGCTTGGGGCGCTAATGCTTTCTTTCTTCCCCTGAGTGACATGGCAGCGTTCCCAGGACTCTCTGCTGTATTTTATTATTTTATTAATAAAGTTTTAAAATTTTAACACTTGGTGTGTTACGTCATCTTCTCCCCAAATGATCCTGAGGTGTCAGCCTGATCACTTGATGCTCCAGGCAGATTAGTAATGAAAATCTGTAACACTGTCAGGGACAGCTCTGGCCTGAGCTGGGACCGGGCAGATTATCAGGGGAGCCACGTTTTTACCCCCAGCACTGAGACTAGGACAGAAGAAAGGGCGGAGCGTCCCAGAGAAGGTGCCAATGAAAGTGAAGAGATGGGATCTGTCAGTCACATTGTAAAACGAGACCTCGCCCGCCTCATAGTCTAGGAAAATCCCCACCCGGCTGGGCCTGACGCTCACAGGGAGGACCCAGGGGGAGGTAAGGGCCTTGTATTCCCCAGCACTCAGCCACACAACCCAGTATCGATCCGCCGGTGTGGGTGTGATCAGCCCCTTCCTGCGCACAGATTTCCTACAAATCCCCAGAGCCCACCTCGTCTTGTCTCCCACCTCCACCTCCCAGTAACGCCTCCCTCCCATGAACCCCTCAGTGCCCAGGACACAGACACAAGGATCAAATCTCTCAGAATTGTCAGGCAGATCCTGGCGTGTGCTTCTGAGTCTCACACATTTCCGATCCTCAGACAGGTTGAGCCAGGGATTAGCCGTGTCTGGATCCAGAGTCACGTCCACTGGGGAGAAAGTCACAGAGTCAGTGCCAGGGGCAGGGGCTGATCACTGGGATCAAAGGGAAATTAAGCTGCATCCCTGTTAATTGCAGGGGGGGGGAGGTTATTGCCTGAGCAGGAGTCAGGGTCCATCTGTCTGTGTGGAGACAATGAGCAGGAAAAGGGCAGGAGGAGCGGGGGAGGGTGGGAAGGTGTCAGTGGGGGCAGGGGATGGGAGGGAAAAGGTTGATGCTGGGAGAGGAAAGGGGAGGGGCAGGTGACAGTAGGAGGAGGAGGAGGGGCAGAGGGGAGGGGCATGCACAAGGACAATGGGCGGGCAAGGAAAGGGGCATGTACCAGAGAGGTTGAAGGGAAGGGCAGGTTCCCGGGGGCTGCACGGGGTGAGGGAAGGGGTGGACACCAGGGCAGAAGAAGGGGATGGACCCCAGGGGACACAGAGAAGCAAGGGAAGGGGTGGGCACAAGGGAGCAGAAGGATGTGAGGGAATGGGGGGGGGCTCCAATGGGACAGAGGGAATCAAGGGGAGGGACTGGTGCCAGGGGGTGGGGGAGGATGAGGAGTGGGGCAGGTGCCAGGACCATGGGGGGGGGAGGGAATGGGCAGGCACCAGGGGAACAGAGTGAGACAGGATCCTGATCCTGGGGGCAGAGGGGCTGGCTAGGGCAGGGGCTGTCACTAGTGGTTGGAGGAGGGCAAGAGGAGGGGCATGTGCCAGGGAGCAGAATGGGGTGATGGGAGGGGGGGACACAGAGGGGGTAAGAGGGAAGGGGAGGGGCATGCATCTGGGCCATAGAGTATTTTTGAGAGACAGGACTGGTTTCAAGGGAAAGAGAGAGATGAGGAGAGGGGTGGGCACCAAGGATCCAAAGGTTGGGCTAGAGAAGGGGTGGGCGGCACTGGGGGATGGGGGGAAGGGAATGGGCTTGCACCAGGGGACACAAGAGGTGAACAGAGGGGCAGGCACTAGGGAGGCAGAGGGGGAGTAGAAGGAGAGGCTGGCACCAGGGGAAAAGGAGGGGGTGGGAGAAGGTGCAGGTGACAAGGGGACAAAGAGGGGTGAGGGTAGGACAGGTGTCAGAGGGACATGGGGGGCAAAGGGGTGGAGCAAAAATAAACAAAACAAAACAAACAAAAAAAGCGGCCGTGCCACCCTAGGATTGGGCAGAATGCCGCCTCCAACAATCTGCCGCTCCAAGCACCATCTTGCTCAGCTGGTGCCTGGAGCCAGCCCTGATGACAGCAGCAGCTGTAGCAGGACAAAACCCTGGAGAGCTGCCCCTGGCTGGAGAAAGTGGATGCAGAGAATAAAGGCACAGTCTGAAATGACCCCAGCTCCAGGAGGGGATGGAAACTAATCCAAGCCCAGCTCTGGGAAGGAGGACTGAGGACTCCTGACTTGAGGACAGTGAGGAACCTGGAGCGAATACAGCACAGGGTTTTGGGCCACCTACCTGGCTTCCAGGGTCCCTGTCCCAGCTCCCAGGCAGCTCCCCCTCCCCCACAGCCTCCAGCTCCCCCCGACCTCAGGCTGCCTCTACCCTGTCCTGTTCCCTGGGGGGGGGGGGGTGACCCAGGGCCCAGCATGGAGCCATCAGGGTCACTACAATCCTGTCTACCACACCCAGAAGACAGGCACAGGATGGGCTCAGGGAGGGGCTGGCCCCACAATGGGAACCTCGTGCCCCCTCCCCCAAGGTTTGCTGCTGCCCTTGCTGGGCCTTGTCCGCACTCAGACCAGGAGCCCTGTGGGGCTGGCAGCCCCTTGTTCTGTCTCTGCAGTGCCTGGCTCACTCGTGGGCGCTATATCAATAATAACACTCACTGCCCAGCCCCTAAGGGCTGCATGACAGCGCGGGGCCTTCCCCATTGCACACGGGGACTCTGGGGCACAGGGAGGCCTGGTTACTCTGCCCCACACATTCACCCAGTGACTCCCCCGAGCTCTCGGACCCGGGTCGCTGGGGTCAGAGCGTAGGCAGTCGAGTGGCACTGACCGGCCGGGGCTGCTGCGGTGGGTGAAAGGAAAGGGTTAATCCCAGCGCAGTGGCACTTTGCTGCCCAGCCCTGGCTGGTCTCTGCCCTCTGGGTGCAGCACAGGGCGTGTGTCTCTGAGCAGGTCCCTGCCCACTCACCCGCCATTTGCCCCAGACACAGAGAACCCAGGTGCCGAGGGAAGGAGCAGCCCCAGCAGCGCCGCATTGGCCCTGGCACGGGCTGAGCCTGCGAGCACAGCAGCAGAGGCAGCGGCAGAGAGAGGGACTCAGCCATTGAGAGCAGCAGCGTCCCCACCCGCAGGGGAGGGGGCAGCACTGGGACAACAGGCCGGGCTGGGTCAGGGGCTGGGAGCTCTGGCAGCGAGCGTGGTGCCAGCATCAACAGCCCTGCTGGAGACCCTGGGCCTGGCCAGCCTGGAGCAGTCAGCGAGTGACTCAGGGCCTGGGACCCTGCCCAGGAAAGGGCTTCTGGGGGGGGGGGGTGACAGGAGGCTCCCTAGGGGCTGGTTATCCCCTAGAACAAGGCACTGAGGTGACTGGCTCAGGATCCCGACAGGCTCAGGGGCCAGATGTGTGGAATGGCCCAGAGCCCAGCCGTGTTCAGGGTCCAGTGAGCACAGACTGTGCTGGGCTGGGAGCAGTGAACGGGGAGGGGAGCAGGGATGTGCTGGCTCCAGCCAGTCACAGAGAGGAAGCTGCTTCCCCCACAGCCTGGGGCTCCTGCTCCCCTGAGATCCTGGCCCTGCAGCCGGCACCGACTGCTCAGCCTCCATCGGCCGGGACAGACACACCCAGCTTGGCCCCTTCAACTGCCCCCTGCTGGGGGGGGGGGGGAAGAGAGGAGCGGCGGGGGTAGGATGAAAGGGCCAGTTCAACAGTCACAGACCGAGCTCACTGAACCTTCCCACTCTCCCTCTCCTCTGCCTTAGTTTCTTCTCTGTCCCTCCTCGCTGTCAGGTTTCTGCCTTTGCCCCCGGTCTCCTCGCTGGGGTTGTGGGGAGAGGTTTGGACGGGGGCAGCTCACACTCAGCCGTTGTGACAGGGTCACACTCTTGTGAGTGAATCTCACTCACTGAGCAGCAAACCACTGACCCAACCTCAAACTGGGCTGTGCTCAGAGCAGATGGGGATTCAGCTTGTTACCCAGTAACACAAGGCCCAGGTCAGACCGCAGCCAGACCGGCCCCTGCTCCAGCTCAGAAAGCTCGGCCAGCCTTGGCTAATGAGGGCTGGGGCAGTGCTGAGCGGTGGCCACACAACGCAGCCCTCACATGTCCCAGGAGAGAGGCATGGACACATCATCCGTTATCAGTCTGTGCAGCACCCTGCACAATGGGCCCAGTCCAGACCTCACAGCACCTGGCTCAGTGACACCAATTAACTCAGCCATGGAGGGGTCAGGATGTCAGAGTGATGGGGCCTGGTCAGATACCTGGGAATATACCAGCCGGTGGGTGCGAGGGTTGCCAACTCTCTCGGACCAGATGGACCGGATGCCATACTGTGTCAATGACGTCCGGTCTGGGAGAGTTGGCAACCCTAGTGGGTGTAAATATCAGGCAAACTCCCCAGCACTGAGCACATCAGCCTCCAGCTATCACACAGCTCCAAGCCTGTCAACTGGGTGCATGCGTGTCCTGGGGTCCCAGGCTCTGTCCAGATCCCCAGGCACAACACAGCTGAATGTCCCAGTAGACTCCACTCACCTCCAAATCTCTTCAGCGCTTCCCTCATGTCAAGGGAAATTTTATACACATTCTTCAGGTCAGTAGAAACAGCTTCTGGTTCCTGGAGTTTCACATTCTCACTCCTATGAAGAAAACATCCCATCATCACTCAGCTGCTCTGTGCACACATCACTGCAGAGCCGCTACCAAGGATATAAGAGCAATGAACTTCGGAAACGTACCTGCTCAATGTGCTTTTCACATCCTGGAGGAGAAAGAGAATCAATGTTCTTAGTTAAAAGCACGTGTAAAAAACAGTGAATTTTCACTCTGCACATCAACCTTTCACCTAGAAAACAAATCAACCTTTCCAGGCTTCACTGTTTTGTGATAAAACTCATATGGCATTTTGCCTTAACACTTGTTTCATTGATGTAGGTGAGACAGGAATTTAGCTAAAGGGTTCTCCCTTCTAGGGACCCAACCCATCAGTATCTGTGTTTATCGACTGTGTTGGGTCCAATGTTCTGGGGTCAGAGCAGGGATGGGTTTAGCTCAGTATCATTTTTGTGTCATCCATTTAATCTCCCGTGGCCTCCTGGGATCTCCAGGAGGAGAATTCCCCTCTAACATGAACTGCTATATTTTGGAACTGATGGAGCCCTTAGCCGGATGTTCTGTTTGTCTGTAACCACAGAACACATTTACTCTCATTGTTGGAATCCAGACCTATGAATCTGAGTTATAATTCTGGATGAAGACAGAGAATTTTGATGCCATCTCACCGTTAGCAGCTCGATAACTGGTTGCTCACACTTCTCCTCTAACTCTGTGATCAGCTGCTGCAGAGAGGAGCTTTGCTGGGAGAGTTTGGTGACATTTTCCTGTAGTCTCTGCAGAGTCTCCCTCTCCTCCTCCTCCAGGCTCTGCAGAAGCATCTGCTCCTCCTCTCTCAGCAGTGCGTGCAGCTTGTTAAATTCATCTGCAATCATCTCTCTCTTATTCTTCACTTTCCTCTGGAGATAGAAAAATAGGAAAGGCACAGAGAAAACATGAGCCAGATGCTGCGTTACACAGACAGGGCCTCTCTCCATGAAGCAGGGAATGTTAAATCACTATCAGGTTTGTAAGGAAATTTACTTCTTTGAGAAATGTACCATAAAGGGTTTGTTTTAGTTCAGAGTTAATAAGGCCAGTTCCATAGCGGGGTTGTCTAGGGTGCTTTGTAAAGACGCAGTATGTTATTGCAGGTGGCATGGGATGGACACAAGGGAGTGGGGAGAAATCGAGGGACCAGGAGAGATTTACAGGGGGCCACACTGGGCATCCATGGGGGCATTTGGGTGTCCAGTGCTGGGCACTCAGACATCTAGGGGAGCCATCACAGCGGGATATGGGCGATGCTCCTTCTTTGACAACCTGCTCCCAGGGCTGCAAAGTTCACTACCTAGGGCTGGTGCTAACAGCCCTTTGGGGGCATCCTGGGGCTCACATGGGTGTTGGACACCCAGGACATTGTCAGAGCTGGCTTTGGCCTCACCCAGCGTGCCTGAGCGCCCCATGCCCATGTGTCCAGTGACCAGCCAGTGTCTTCCTCACACCCCCCACGCTCTCTGCAGGGATTTCACTGTAAGAGGCAGGTGAACCGGCACAAATATTTTGTCCCCTGGGTTCATCACCTGGCTACAGACAAGCACAGGTAAAATCACAGTAACAGTAGCAGGTGACTGGGATGAAGTGGCCACATGATGGCAGCAAAGGCTGCGAAGTGGGCGAGCGCTGCCTGGCTTTACACTGACCCACCCCTGGCTCTGCTGACTCAGGGGGTGGCCACACTGCAATGGAGGAGTGAAGACAGCACATGAAGACACACCCCAGCTTGCTCGGGTGCTGGTAGCCGTGACGCCACAGCAGCAGGGGCTGTACAAGCCCACCCAGCTCCCTGGGTAATGACTCAGTGACTAGCCCGCAGCTACCTGTTGTTGCCATTTAGATGCACCCTGGGGGCAGATTTTCCAAAGAGCTCAGCACCCACAACTGGGTTCGATGTTCAGAAGAGCTCAGCTCCCAGCGTGCCCCAGCCCAGCGAGTGATTTTGAACCTCAGCCATGGGGTAAATCCCCCCCCCCCCGAGTTCCCAGCTCTAGTGTCTGGCCCAGGCACTGGGCAGATGCACTGCAGGGATTGTGGGGGAGGGGGTGGGAGAGGATGGAGAAGGAACAATCCCTGTGTCCTCCAGGCTGCAGACACACTGTGGAGCTATTTTATGGAGGCCCCTGAATCCCGCTGGCTGCAGCAGCCTCTACACCACCCCCACCTGCAGGAGGGAAACAGGGTTCATGGCATAGTGAAAACACTGCACCCACTATGGAGAATTTGCCCTTATCAGAGAGCATTGGGGTGAGTTTGCACCACCTCACTAGGGCCAGGAACTGCCCCTCCTCTGCCACGTACAGTAGCTGCTGTGCTGAAACCCCCACCAGAGACACGGCCTGATCCTGCTGGCACCAAGCCTGTGTCATGGGGCAAGAAACCAGAGCAGGTTCATACCCTCGTCCTGGAGTTTCACAGCTCCTTCATCCCTGGGAGCATTGCAGGGGGAAGGGCTCAGGGAGAGATAAACCCGGACACCCACCTGCCACTCCGTGGTTTCCTTCTTCTCTTTAGATGTCAGCGCCAGGGCCTTCTCCAGCTCCTTCCTCAGAGGGCCCAGGGCTCCCTGGAGTTTCTCCTGCAGGGACATCGCATGCAATAAACAGCCATTAGTCTGCCTGTCTGATGGGTGGAGAGTATCATAGAATCAAAGAATCACAGGGTTGGAAGGGACCTCAGGAGGTCATCTAGTCCAACCCCCTGCTCAAAGCAAGACCAATCCCCAACTAAATCATCCCAGTCAGGGCTTTGTCAAGCCTGACCTTAAAAACCTCTAAGGAAGGAGATTCCACCACCTCCCTAGGTAACCCATTCTAGTGCTTCACCACCCTCCTAGTCAAATAGTGTTTCCTAATATCCAACCTAAACCTCTCCCACTGCAACTTGAGACCATTACTCCTTGTTCTGTCTTCTGGTACCACTGAGAACAGTCTAGATCCATCGTCTTTGGAACCCCCTTTCAGGTAGTTGAAAGCAGCTATCAAATTCCCCCTCATTCTTCTCTTCTGCAGACTAAATAATCCCAGTTCCCTCAGCCTCTCCTCATAACTCATGTGCTCCAGCCCCCTAATCATTTTTATTGCCCTCTGCTGGACTCTTTCCAATTTTTCCACATCCTTCTTGTAGTGTGGGGCCCAAAACTGGACACAGTACTCCAGGTGAGGCCTCACCAATGTCGAATAGAGGGGAAGGATCACGTCCCTCGATCTGCTGATAATGCTCCTACTTATACAGCCCAAAATGCCATTAGCCTTCTTGACAACAAGGGCACACTGTTGACTCATATCCAGCTTCTCGTCCACTGTAACCCCTAGGTCCTTTTCTGCAGAACTGCTGCTTAGCCAATCGGTCCCTAGTCTGCAGCAGTGTATGGGATTCTTCCATCCTAAGTGCAGGATTCTGCACTTCTTGTTGAACCTCATCAGATTTCTTTTGGCCCAATCCTCTAATTTGTTTAGGTCCCTCTGTATCCTATCCCTACCCTCCAGCGTATCTACCACTCCTCCCAGTTTAGTGTCATCTGCAAACTTGCGGAGGGTGCAATCCACGCCATCCTCCAGATCATTAATGAAGATATTGAACAAAACTGGTCCCAGGACGAACTCTTGGGGCACTCCACTTGATACCAGCTGCCAACTAGACATGGAGGCAATGATCACTACCCATTGAGCCCAATGATCTAGCCAGCTTTCTATCCACCTTATAGTCCATTTATCCAGCCCATGATTCTTTAACTTGCTGGCAAGAATACTGTGGGAGACCATATCAAAAGCTTTGCTAAAGTCAAGGAATAACACATACACTGCTTTCCCCTGATTCACAGAGCCAGTTATATTGTCATAGAAGGCAGTTAGGTTAGTGAGGCATGACTTGCCCTTGGTGAACCCATGCCGACTGTTCCTGATCACTCTCCTCTCCTTGAAGTGCTTCAAAATTGGTTCCTTGAGGACCTGCTCCATGATTTTTCCAGGGACTGAGGTGAGGCTGACTGGCCTATAGTTCCCCGGATCCTCCTTCTTCCCTTTTTTAAAGATGGGCACTACATTAGCCGTTTCCAGTCATCCGGGACCTCCTTGATCACTATGAGTTTTCAAAGATAATGGCCAATGGCTCTGCAATCACATCAGCCAACTCCTTTATCACCCTCTGATGCAGCGCATCCGGCCCCATGGACTTGTGCTCGTCCAGCTTTTCTAAATAATCCTGAACCACTTCTTTCTCCACAGAGGGCTGGTCACCTCCTCCCCATGCTGTGCAGTAGTCTGGGAGCTGACCTTGTTCGTGAAGACAGAGGCAAAAAAAGCATTTACATTAGCTTTTTCCACATCCTCTGTCACTACGTTGCCTCCCTCATTCAGTAAGGGGCCCACACTTTCCTTGACTTTTTCTTGTTGCTAACATACCCAAAGAAACCCTTCTTATTACTCTTAACATCTCTTGCTAGCTGCAACTGCAATTGTGATTTGGCCTTCCTGATTTCACTCCTGCATGTCTGAGTACTATTTTTATACTCCTCCCTGGTCATTTGTCCAATCTTCCACTTCTTGTAAGCTTCTTTTTTGTGTTTAAGATCAGCAAGGATTTCACTGTTAAGCCAAGCTGGTCGCCTACCATATTTACTATTCTTTCTACACATTAGGATGGTTTGTTCCTGCAACCTCAATAAGGATTCTTTAAAATACAGCCAGCTCTCCTGGACTCCTTTCCCCCTCATATTATTCTCCCAGGGGATCCTGCCCATCAGTTCCCTGAGGGAGTCAAAGTCTGCTTTTCTGAAGTCCAAGGTCCATATTCTGCTGCTCTCCTTTCTTCCTTTTGTCAAGATCCTGAACTCGACCATCTCATGGTCACTGCCTCCCAAGTTCCCATCCACTTTTGCTTCTCCTACTAATTCTTTCCTGTTTGTGAGCAGCAGGTCAAGAAGAGCTCTGCCCCTAGTTGGTTCCTCCAGCACTTGCACCAAGAAATTGTCCCCTACATTTTTCCAAAAACTTCCTGGATTGTCTATGCACTGCTGTATTGCTCTCCCAGCAGTTATTGGGGTGATTGAAGTCCCCCATGAGAACCAGGGCCTGTGATCTAGTAACTTCTGCTAGTTGCCAGAAGAAAGCCTCGTCCACCTCATCCCCCTGGTCTGGTGGTCTATAGCAGACTCCCACCACGACATCACCTTTGTTGCTCACACTTCTAAACTTAATCCAGAGATTTAGGTTTTTCTGCAGTTTCATACTGGAGCTCTGAGCAGTCATACTCCTCTCTTACATACAATGCAACTCCCCCACCTTTTCTGCCCTGCCTGTCCTTCCTGAACAGTTTATATCCATCCATGACAGTAATCCAGCCATGTGAGTTATCCCACCAAGTCTCTGTTATTCCAATCACATCATAATTTCTTGACTGTGCCAGGACTTCCAGTTCTCCCTGCTTGTTTCCCATGCTTCTTGCATTTGTGTATAGGCACTTAAGATAACTTGCTGATGGTCCTACTTTCTCAGTCTGAGGCAGGAGTCCTCCCCTCTTGCACTCTCCTGCTGGTGCTTCCTTCCTTTATCCCACTTCTCCACTTACCTCGGGGCTTTGGTCTCCTTCCCCCGGTGAAACCTAGTTTAAAGCCCTCCTCACTACCCTGCTTGCAAAGATGCTCTTCCCTCTCTTCGTTAGGCCAGGAACAAGATCCACACGGTGCTCTCATCTGTCTTTCCAGGCTCTCATGTGGCCTCCCTCAGGCAGCAGCTGAGAGCCTGACACCAGTGCTGTCCCATGAACTGTACAGGGTGAAGCTGTGAGGTGGCTGGAGGTCAGTGAGGAACAGGGAACACACTCGGTCTGGGGGAATGTGCCACCCATAATTATAACTGCTCAGAGCTGTAATACCCCAGGGCTCTCTTCCCCTTTGACAGCGTGTGATTCCTTCACCCGGCACAGCGACGTGCTCCTGCCCTGTCAGCCTGGCTCTGTGCAGCACCCAGGGCAGCCCCCCAGAGCCCCTCATGAGCTCTGTGCAGAGATCTCCCCATTTTACTCCTCTTTTCTCTGGGCCCTCGAGTTCTCTCCCCCTCTCTGCCCAAGGGCCCAGGCTGCTGCTGCTGCTGAGAGCTCCTGGGGAGCTGTTCGGTGACACCCCTGTGTGCTGCTGCAGAGACGCACTGAGCGAGGGAGCCAGCAGGGGCTAGTGAGAGACAGAAGGAGAAGCGGCCTTGGCACCCATCAAAACAGCTTCATAAATGAGGAGGAATCGGACTGGGGGAGAGGGCAGAGGGACAAAGGTGGCTGGATTCTTTGAAGCTCCACCCACAAAATAAGCTCCGCCCATGTGAGTCACCAAAAGGAGACAGCATGGTCTGTTCACAGGAGATGGTGCAATGTTCAAAATAGGGTGGCGTTACTGATTGGCTCCAAGGGGCTCCTTCTGCCCAGCTCCCCACATGGGGCTAGAATATACCCCCAGGCTCTCTGGGCCTGGACCTTCTTTACTGGGGAAAAAATAAGAGGTGGCATCTCCCAAACATCACCTGCCTGTGGCACCGGCAGGAGGCGTCACTGGCAGTACGTGGTGCTGGGCTGTAACTCTCCCTCTCCGCTCTCACAAGGGGAATGACATTGTTAACAATGCTGATATTTAAAGGATCATCCCCAGGCACCTGAGCCCACCCCCCACTCAGGGACTGGGGCTGTTCACCCCTCTCCGAGCTGCTGTGCCCAGCTCTCTGCATCCCTACATGTGGGTCAGTTTTGAGGTTTTCTTCACAACCAGAACAGCTGGAGAGTGAGTGTAACACAAAGTGAAAGCTGAGATCCTGGAGAACAAGGCAGTCACAGAGAAGTGCCAGTACTTCCTGGCTGTTTCTGAGCCCTGTCAGTGAAAGTAGACACCAGGACTTACCAGTGCTCCCTGCACCAGGCCCGGCGTCCTTAACAGGGCGGGTGGCTCTGCCCCCCCAGAAGGGGTGAGGCCTTGGGGCAGAAGGGCCAAGGGGGCTCTGCTTCCCACCACTGGTGAGTGCGGGGAGGGGGGTGGTTTAATTCCTTCCCCCAAGCAACACGGTTGGGGCTGGGTTGCTCCGCTTCCCGCCGGCTGCGGTGAGTGCGGGGGCGCACCCAACCCCTGCTGCTGGCTGGTGCCAGGCCCCCTGCTAATCCCTCAGGCTACCCTGGGCCCCACAGGACCCCCCAAAGCTGGGGCCCAGGGCAGCAGCCCCTTTTGCTCCCCCCTGTTGGCAGCCCTGCTGGTAGGGTCTGGCAGCACTGCGGTGGCAACGCTTTAACCTCGCTACTGCGGCCTTGCTGCTGGAACCTACCGGCAGGGCCGCCAACGGGGAAGCAAATGTCGGCTGTGTGTGGGCCGGGCCAGTGGCCAGCTCTTGCCAGAGCACTGCTCCGGCCTGCACCGGCCCACTTTCACCTCTGCAAAGCACCCTGGCAGCCAGTTTTCACAGTGGGATCGCTACTAACCGTGCTGCTCTCTGTGTGGATGTAAGAGCGGCTAGTGTGAATGTGCTCTGCCTGCACAAGGAGCTAGTGAGCACATGCAACAGCGGCTTTAATCAAAGTGGCATAACTTTTGCCAACAAAACTTCGTAGTGTAGACAAAGCCTAAGAGCTGACAATCACTAAGAGCAGGGTAGAACCTCAAGAGACTGATCTGTAGAGCTTATAGTAGAGAAGCAGGTAACAGCTGGTGGGGCGGCCGGTGGAGTGGACCAGTTGGGTATGTGGCAGGGTGGTGACACAGAGGAGCAAGCAAGGTGCCTTCTTCCTCCCCTCCACCAGGCATATCTCTGAGTCTTCACTCACCTGGGACCACCACTGTGAGTGGGGTGCGGTGAGGGACTTGTAAAGGAACTTTTGGTTGTAGAACTAAAAAACCTGAGGCAGAAGACGCTGCCCATCACACTCTGGGGTGGGTGTTTTGCTCACGGTTTTATGTTTATGAATCCTGCTTGCAGCATTTTCCTTAATTAATGCCAGGTTACTTCCCTCCTTTCATTTAAAGTTTCTTTTCTACGATAGGCACCAACTCTGTGGGGGCTCCAGGGCTAAAGCAATCAAGGGGAAAAAAGAGTGATCAGCTCCTCCCCCTTCCTCCAGTGCCCCCTGCCCACCGTGGATCAGCTATACAGCAGTGTGCAGGAGGCATTGGGGGGAGAGGGCAGAGCGAGGGCAGGGTGCGCTCGGGTTGTAGAACCAATGTGAATGAAATTGTTTTTAGTTATCCTGTACCATTGTAACTTCTGTTCACCATTTCATTACACTTGCCATTTTGCCTACATTGTAACTTTCATTACACTTGCCATTTTGCCTACATTGTAACTTCTGTGCCATATTGTAATTCAAACCCCATTTTAAAACGCTTACTCTATTTTGTAAGGGCTTGCTGCAACCTTCATTGTTGCAAACCCTGCTGTAATTTTATTAGTCTAGTTGAGATGTGTGAATGAGGGATGCATGGGTGATAGAATCAACCTCCAGCACCAGCCCGTCCTGATGAGATAAAGTTCAAATACCAAAGGCTGAAGAACTAGACAACAGCCCTAACTCAAGCAAGAAGCATCCACCCTAAAAAGAAACAACAGAAGGAAGATCAAAGCCAGGTCCCAGGCTGACAGTCACGCCTGCAATTGACGGGTGATCAAGCACCAAACCCAGAGGCGGCGTGACACAGCGAGACCTAGGAACTTTGAATCCAAACTAAACTCCTATAAAAAAGGAAGGGTGAGATGAGAGACTTTGGGTAACGTTCTGCTATCAACATCAAGGAGCATCGGTGCGCGCCCGACAGAGACCCGGCTCCTCCTCGTGCTCAGCTTTCCTGGCCAGTTAGCTGCCACGAGCTCCGATCCCAAGCTGCGAACTCAAACTACAATCAGGACTGGTAACTATCCAGCAGCTGCAGAACATTTTGGTGTGTGTGTGTGTGTGTGTGTGTATGTGTGTAAGCATTAAGGTATTTGCTAATAGTTACAGATTAATAATAAATGTGGCATCTTTGCCTTGACCCCTAAAACGATCCTGTATAAGTTTGTGGGACAACAGGGTAAGGGGGCAGAATAGGGCAGGAAGAGGTGGGGTGGGGGTGGGGTCTTGGGGGAAAGGATGGAGTGGGGGGCGGGGCCTGTGCAGAGCAGGGCTTGAGCACCCCTGGGGAAATGAGGAAGCCAGCACCTGTGTTTTCTACACTCAGACTCTGTGCTGTAGAGAGGGGAAGTATTGCCTCTCAGAGGCGCGCAGGGTGGGGTGTGGTTTGCCCAGGTTACTGGGTGGGGGCTCGAGCTGGTTCTGTGTTGTAATGCTGAACAGGAACCCCTAGATATTGAACCCGGCCCTTCTTGCTGCCCACTCCACCTGGCAGAGGGGTTACAGGTGCACAAAGAGCCATCAGCCCTGTCCTCTCTCTATCAGGCACTGAAACTTGCAGTGTTGGGGCAAAAAAGTCTGGATCTTTTTCCATTACCCAGAACCCCCAGTGCTCACCCCTCTGAAAACCAGGCCCTTTCGTTTAGGTGCCTAACCTTAGGCAGCCAGGTGTAAAAGATTGTCCTTGGATTGAGAGGACAATAAACCTGGTGTCCTTAAGGGATTTAATTAAGCAAAGTCAACAGCATTTCCTACCTTGTACTCCTGGGCAGCCTCCTCTATGGGAACCACCGTGTGAGACTTGTGGTCCCGGGATTTCTCACACACCAAGCAAATGGTTTCTCCATCCTCCTCACAGAAGAGTTTGAGACGTTCCTCGTGTCTCTCACACAGTTTCTCCTTTTGCCCTTTTCCTGGTTTTAACCCCAGTTGTTGGAGCTTTTGTACAATGTTGTTCAGCTGGGTGTTGGGTTTGAACTCCCCTTTCTGGAACTGGGCTCTGCACTGGGGACAGGTCAGGGGTGTCCCTGTTCCCCATTGCTCACAGTACTGGGTGATGCAGGCTCGGCAGAAGTTGTGCCCACACGCTATAGTCACCGGCTCTGTCAGATACCCCAAGCAGATGGAGCAAATAGCGTCATCTTTTATGTCCCCTGCTGTAGCTGGAGAGGCCATCGCAGCTGGGTGGGTGTCTGTTCTCTCTGCCCTTTGCAGGCAGCCAGCAGCCCAACCAACCACACCCACAGGCAACCCGAAAGCAAAAGGAAAAAAATCAACGGCAAGCAGCCTTTTAAAGCTTCTTTTAGCAGATTGTGCAACCGGGAGCCAATCATGCGCTCCAGCAGGATATTCTACCCAAAAAAAAAAAAAAAATAGGAAGAAGCCACAGCCCTGAAAAGCCTCCAAACAAGCAACTTAAAGAAACGAATAGGCAATTTCATACAGAAAGAGCCTAAACAGACTTACTGGGAGCAGAGGGGATAAAAGTGACCACAGTGGGGTGAGCCATCTGCAGTGGTGGCCAAAATAGGACATGTGGCAGAGAGGCTGGTGTTCCTTGCTGGCCCATCTCAGCACCCCTCTCCCCAGGGCTGTGGTGTTAAAGCACATTGCCCCATATGTCTTTGTTACATAAAATAATGTATTGTCACTTTATGTGGCTTTGACCTGCTGTTCCCATGGCCTGACAGTTACTCTGTTTCCTATAAGCCACTGTAAATGCAGCTTCACTCTATTTTAGTTATTTATTTTTAATTCCTTTTTAAAAGCAGTGTATTGGTTACTCCTATTTTCCTTAGCACGTCTTGGTTATAGGGTGACCAGAGGTCCCGATTTTATAGGGACAGTCCCGATTTTTGGGTCTTTTTCTTATATAGGCTCCTATTACCTCCCACCCCCTGTCCCGATTTTTCACACTTGCTGTCTGGTCACCCTACTTGGTTAACACTGTGCACATGGATGTCATTGTACTGCTTAGTGTACAGTTTTCATAATAAATAATCACAGAAAATAATAATTGACGCTACAGGTTGAACCTCCCTAATCCGGACTTCCCTAGTCTGGCAACACCCCTTGTCCAGCATAGTCGGTGACCCAGTGGGTGCTTGGGGCTGGAACACTCAAGGGGGAAAAACTGATGGGCTGGGACCAGGAGTTTTGGGGGACCAGAGAAGAGTGGACCTGGCAGGGGCCAGGGGAGTGGGGGGTGGGCAGCTGGGAGCGGAGCCCTGGTGGGTTACACATCGCTTCTCGGCTCCTTGGAGCTAAGATCAAAGTGTAGTGTCTGTTCTTATCAGTTTAATTTTTTTTGATGAACAACTACAAACACCCGTCCAGAGGATGGAATCTGTTGAGTAACATAGAGTTAAAGTTGTAGTGATTACTTTATTTTCCAAATAAATTCACAGATTATAACCGATCAGGTGTCAAGTTCGCCAACAGCTCTTAACAAGCAAGTGTTGGCAGGCGAGCGTGTCGCGCATTGTCGGGAAGTCCAGCATGCATCGGCAGGAATATGTGCGTGTAATGACTTGTTTACAATACGATACTATAAATAGGCGACATGTATGAAATCTAATTTAGATTGTTTCTGAATTGTGTAAAAAGCAGTTAACAATAGTGCAATAAGTATTTAAAAAATTTTATTCATATTCGATACCTTCGATCTTTACGGATTACAGATCACATACAAAGCAAATTGTATTATTGTTTTTTCAATAAAACAGCAATTTACACGTGAGTATTTTTATACATTTTCTTACCTATCTACCGTACGTTTCTGTGTCTCTAGTGCTTACTAATAATAAAATCGTAGCAGGCTTGTGTCGGTAGAGTACTATTTGAAGTGTACAGTCAATATATTTGTCATATTTTTATTACAATATTAATGAAAACAGGGGAATGAAATCGTAAAAAAACTGTTAACTATTAACATTTATTTACATCTATCGAATCATCTGTGTTAATTGGTAAATAAGGTGTGTGTTAATAAGGAACAATTATTTAAATAAGGGCAAACTAAATTAAAACTATTAACTGATTTTTAATTGCATATTGATTATTTTTTAAATTAATTATTTCTTGATAAATTTAGTTTGATATTTGACAATTTAATATCAAATACATATATCTAATGCTGAGCAAAGAACAAAACCCAGTTTATTAGTTTCATTAGTATTTTAGTTTGGTTGTCTTTTGCCGTCTTACGCAAAAAACACTGTATACCTGATGTCGTGGGCGATATTCTAATAACACATCTTTCTTTACTATATTGTAGGACGTAGGTAGAAATATAGATACATAAAAGAACGCAAATTTATCACTGCATCTTTCTGTTTGTTCGCTTAAAGAAGGTAGATTTCCAGGGGGGCGCTGAGTAATTTTTTTTCTGAAAAGGGGGCGGTAGGCCAAATAAGTTTGGGAACCTCTGACTTAGACCCTCTTCATGAATCACCTCCCACTGTATGAAATATGGAGCAATAATATATGAGAGAGCCGACTAGGACCGGATCCTGCACACCCTCCCATTTCAATCATCATGTTGGTGGCAGGTAGGGTGATCAGATAGCAAGTGTGAAAAATCAGGACGGGGGGTAATAGGAGCCCATATTTTAAAAAAAGCCCCAAAAATCAGGACTGTCCCTACAAAATCGGGACATCTGGTCACCCTAGTGGCAAGGGTGCTGCTGTGACTAAGAGCTGCTGGGGAAGTGTGTGGGGGGGATGCTGGGGAGGGGGGTGCTGGGGAGATGAGGGGGAGGTTCCAGGGGGTGTCGGTGGCTGGGAGCATGAGTGCCACTGAGCAGCAGGGACAGGGCCTCATCTAAGCTATTTGCTCCCCCTCCCGCTTCTGTTTCCTGTTTTGGAAGGGGCCGGGGAACTCATGTGATTTACCGGAATCCAACCCATTGGCTCCACGCCCCGGGAATCCCACGGACTCCTCCTCTCCGGGCTGCTGATCCCAGCACAACAGTCACAGACCCAGAAAGGGCTCGGGCTGGGCAGGAAATGATTCTGCACCAGCGGCCCCTCCTCGCCCCAGCTCTGCTCCCGGGGGGGTTGTGAGTCCCAGAGCTGCTGCCAGCCCTGACCCCCCCGGCTCTGCTCCCCTGAGCGCCTGCAGGAGCCGAGCCAGCTCCAGCCGGGCAGTGCCTGAGTCACAGTCAGTCCGTTCTGATTCCCCCCCCCCTTGATCAGCTGTTGCTTCCCGCCCTCCCCTTTCCACTCAGTCACTCCGGATTTCAGCTCCTCTCCCCGCTGCACCCCCCTCCCTCCACCTTCCTCGTTCTGCCTCCACCCAGGAAGGGGCGGCGGGGAAGCGGCGCAGGGGAGTGCAAACAGGGTGGGGCTATTTGCGGGCGCTGCTTCATCCCCGCAGTCGGAGCAAGCTGTGGCGAGTGGTGCTGGGCAGGGGAATTACTGAGAACCCAGTGACCGCCGGAGAGCGGGAATAGCAGTTTGCGGGGGGCACTGACCCCCCCCCTGCACTGGCACACCCCCGCCAGCTCAGTGCCCTGGGTTGGGGCTGTCTCTGTGAGAGGGATTTGCTCTGCCACAGCCAGGAACACAGATCGTTACTTCTACACTATGAAATTAGTTCGATTTAATAGAAGTCGACTTTTTAGAAATCGATTTGATACAGTCGTTTGTGTGTTCCCACTAAGCGCATTAAGTCGGCGGTGTGCGTCCACAGTACCGAGGCTAGCGTCGACTTTGGAGCATTGCACTGTGGGTAGCTATCCCACAGTTCCCACAGTCTCCGCCCTCCATTGGAATACTGGGTTGCGCTCCCAATGCCTGATGGGGCAAAAACATTGTCATGGGTCGTTCTGAGTACATGTCATCAGCCCCCCACCCCATTCCTCCCTCCATGAAAGCAATGGTAATATGTCATTTCTCGCCTTTTTTCCTGGGTTACTCGTGCAGATAACATACCATGGGAAGCATGGAGCCCACTCAGCTCACTGTCACCGTATGTCTCCTGGGTGCTGCTGGCAGACGTGGTACTGCAGTGCTACACGGCAGCAGCTCCTTGCCTTTGCAAGTTGGCAAAGACGGTTACCAGTCATATTGCATTGTCTGCTGCTATCTCCTGGTTGCTCCTGGCCGGCCTCGGTGAGGTCGGTCGGGGGCACTTGGGCAGATGTGGATGCTCCTGGCCAGCCTCGGTGAGGTTGGTCGGGGGGCGCCTGGACAAAAATGGGAATGACTCCCCAGGTCATTCTCTTCTTTAAGTTTTGTCTAATGGAGATTCAGTCCTGCCTGGAATATCAGACAAGCCTACTAAAGAACCAGAGAGGCAAACGGCTGCTCTGGGTCAGAGCCCCAGACATCCCGCAGAAATGATGAGCTGCATGCCATTCTAGGGGGTGCGCCTACAACTACCTCATCCAGTGCTTCCCTCCTCCCCCACCCCTCCCGGGCTACCTTGGCAGTTATCCCCCCATTTCTGTGATGAATTAATAAAGAATGCATGAATTTGAAACAACACTGACTTTACTGCTCCTTACTACTGTCCAGGCTTCATGAGCCATGGGAGCAAAGTGCAGGCTGGGGTAGGTGCGACCACATGGTGCTGCCGACTGGGAGAGCAGCCTGAGGCAGAAGCTTCCAGCTGGCATATTCCAGGCAGGACTGAATCTCCATTACACAAAACTTAAAGAGAGAATGACCTGAAGTCATTCCCATTTTTGTCCAGGCGCACCCGACCAACCTCACCGAGGCCGGCCAGGAACACCCATGTCTGCCCAGGTGCCCCCGACTGACCTCACCGAGGCCAGCCAGGATCACCCACGGGATGACAATGACAGCTACCGGTCATACTGCACTGTCTGCCGTCGGCAAGGCAAGGCAAGGGGATGCTGCTGTGTAGCACTGCAGTACCGCGTCTGCCAGCAGCACCCAGGAGACATACGGTGACCGTGAAAAAAGGCGAGAAACGATTTTTTCCCGTTGCTTTCATGGAGGGGGGGGCCTGATGACATGTACCCAGAACCACCCGCGACAATGTTTTTGACCCATCAGACATTGGCAGCTCAACCCAGAATTCAAGTGGTTGGCGGAGACTGCGGGAACTGTGGGATAGCTACAGTCATCAGTCGCCCCTCCCTCACTGAGAGCTATGGCTGAGAATCATTTCGTGCCTTTTTTTTTTTGCAGACACACCATAGCAAGGCGAGCATGGAGCCCTCTCAGATCCACGGCAGTTATGAGCACTGTAAACAGCACGCGCATTATCCTGCAGTATATGCAGCACCAGAACCTGCAAAGGCAGGCGAGGAGGCGACGGCAGCGACGGCAGGGCGGTCACGAGAGTGATGACGACATGGACACAGACTTCTCTAAAAGCACG